ATCATAAAATTATCTATTTTTTAAGATTTTAATAAAACTATTTTCTTATCAAAGGAATGGCAATTGGGGCAACATATGCAAGGCGTCAAAATACAAAAGGCCTTATCTACAAAATACACTTTCCTCCTTGGAAAATGAGTACCGAGCTGTGTGTCCTTTCCTTCATCGCATACTTTTCTTCTCAAACTCGAACTCTCCTAAAACAAGGAAAAACTCGACGAAATCCGATATCTCAAGACTCTCTCTCTCTCTCTCTCTCTATCGGGTAACAATGAAGTACCCTCTTCTTCTCAAATTCCTCTCTCTCCCTCTCCTCTTCCTCTTCATCTTCACTCTCTCTAACTTCCCTCTCAAAACCCCCTTTCGCCCCTCGGACCTCCTCCCTCTTTTGCCGAGAGAAGTCTCATGGCCGATCCTCAGAAGCCTCAACAGCGCCGTCGATCTTTTACCTACCTTTGTCGGCGCTGCGTCGTCCCCTAACTCGATTCTCGAGTGGAAAGGCGCTTGCTTTTATAAGAACCAGGCCTGGATGGAGTTTCATAATAAGAGTGGGTCCCAATTTGGAGGCGGAACTCTTCACATCAAGGTTTGATGGGTTTTAATCCGTGTTTTTCTCGAGTGTTTTGGTGGGATTGGAGAATTGGGTTTGTTCCGTTCGTGGAGAATTAGGTACTTTTGAGTGCAAATTGTGAGATTTGGGCACTAATATTTGGGTTCTGGGGCTTTATACTTGTGTTGATACTTGTGTCATTATTTGCTAAGTCACTGATTGACAGTGTGAAGTTTACCTGGCAACGGCTTATTTGGGCAAAATGAAGTTAAGTGTAAGACAAATTCCCAGCTTGAATGCGGAAAGGTGACCGCTTTTACGAGAATGAGGCCTGCTTGGATTAGTTAGCTAGGTTGTCGATTTGGGTGTCAATTACTTTGCAATTGGTATTCTTCTGTTGATGATTAAGCATTTTTCGTTGGGCATATGAATCGGATTTATCCTGTTAAATTGGGTTGTCGGGTTTAGTTAGCCATCAAGGACTATTGCTGAGTTACTTAAGCAATTGTTATTTTGGCCTTGAAGGAGTTTAACATAAGAATAGAGCTTAACCTGGATATGTAACTTCATATGATGTCATAGAAGTTTAGAAAATGAATATTGTACGAAGTTCTTGGTCTTTGGTGTTGAGCTGTCATCAAGTTGCTGATTTTGTTAGGAATGTTGGATCTTTTTTGTTGATTTGGAGAATTAGCTTTGTGGATTGGTGTGAATAGGTGATTCATTATGTGGTTCTATACCCTTTCTAAATTCTTGGGTGATACTTATTTGCATACCGGTTTTGTCAGTGTGAAAATATACCTGCTTGTTTGGAATTTGGGAGTTTGGATGTCATGGTATGAGTAACTAGCTTTTCTTTTGTACAAGTAAATTTGTACAGAGTGCAGTTTTGGTGCTATAATGATTGGCTATGAGGAAGTTGATAAAAAGGTTACAAGAATTAGTTGAATATCCAGATTTTGCTCAGTTTCCTTCCTTATAGTTGATTGCCCTGTTGTATTGGGCACTGGGTTTGTTTTGGGCCTGAATCACACCCAGTTGGTAATCTTTTCTTGTGGCTAGTACTTACTAAAATTTTGGTTCAGATTAACTGAAATAACACTGTAGTAATTCATGCGGGACTCCACGCTGTGTTCTGAAATTCTGTTTTATTACATTAAATTTTTCGTGGTCATTTTATTAATTAATTTTTTTAATATCAAAGTAAAAGATGAGAGGCAAAACTGCCATCTACAATGCAGGACCCTGATTAATATCTTTGCTACTTTTTGATGAAGAGCAACCATCAAACACATCAGAACCTTATTAGACTCAACTATTTTAAAATATTTTCAGTGAGTCCTAGGATTTATTCTCAAATAAGTTGCACGGGTACGAGTATGGGTACATGTGCGGATATGTATGTGGGTATGGGACACGACAAATTTGTTAAAATGTAGAGTACTCATGGGATATATTTATAGTTCTGAGCTATATCTGTAAACAAACCTTTTAAATCGTAGCTCTTAAGGCTGAAACAAACTCGACCCTTATACAACAAGTTACAAAAATGGATTTGAAGTCTATGATATATATCCAAGAAGTGTATGACTAGTGTTTTAAATAAAAAATGCATTGTATAATTGAAAACTGGTCTAAATAAACATATGCATATATTTAAGGAGTGTCCAGGAAGTGTTGGGTATGGGCACGGGGACACGTATTGGGTACGGGTACGGTTCCATTTTAGAAGCACCCAGGGAACATAGATTCTCAACAATCAATCCTTGGAATAAATGAAAGAAGGTCCATCCCTGAATGCCCTGCATGATGTTTAAGAGCCACCTGTAAGTGCTTTTCCTTTCAACTCCATCTGCATACATCCTTACTTTACTGATTATTCCCCCCCTTGGTAAGCCATATGGTTTTCAGAGGAATGTTTTATATTTTAATCCCATAACTACGATCTAACTGACTACTTGCATGGAATGAATATGATAGCTAGTAAGTGATTTTTGATACTCTGAACGAATCAAGGGAGGGACTCTGAAGGATTCTTCCCTCAAGAAGCTGTATGGCTTTGACTTCCACTTTCCAATATAACAAAAGTAATATCCCTGTGCAAAAAGTAGGCCCAAGTAGTTTTCGAGACTCAATGTTCTGGAAAATGTATGACAATGCCCTTTTGTGTGATTTGACAAGGTATCCAAAACTAGGCCCAAGTAGTTTTGCAATCTCGTTCTAATTGTTCTGCAAAAATAATGACTGACACTTCCCCAAAAACTTTTGATATGATGCTTAGTTAAATAAAATCGAGTAACTCGGACTTTCATCTCTTCTTCTTGCACCATAGACCCCTATTTCATTCAAGCCTAAGATCTAAGTCAATATTTTAATTATTTTTCTATTTAAACATGAAAAACTAAAAGGAACCTTCAAAAGTGATATCTCTAGGTTCTGCGCTGGCAACACTTAGCCTTTGTTATCCTGTGGCGAACTGAAATCAAATGGTTGACACCCACAACATATTTGTCGTGATCTTTGATGCTTTATCTGTAGTTCTTAGTGGAAAATGTTATTATTGAGCTATTTTTTGCTGCTGGGTGATGAAATTATTCATGTAATCAAGCCTCCCCTCTCCTTTCTTTTCAGACAAGCAAAGCTCATAGTTGGACATGTATGGATCTTTATGTCTTTGCAACTCCATATCGGGTTACATGGGATTACTACTTTTTGGGGAGAGAGCATACCCTTGAAATTAAGGAATGGGAAGGAAAACAAGAGTATGAATATGTAAGTTGCCACTACCATTTATTTAAATTAAAGTAGTGCAATCTATTTGTAGAAGACTTCTACTTTTTCCTGGTTCTCATCAAGTTTGTGTTTAATTCTATATAAAATTAGGTGAAGAACAATGGACTGTCAATTTTCCTTATGCAATCAGGGATGATAGGGACTCTTCGAGCTCTATGGGATGTATTTCCCTTATTCACAAATACTGGATGGGGCGAGAATTCAAACCTAGCTTTCCTCAAGAAGCATATGGGAGCTTCATTTGAAGAAAGGCCAAAACCGTGGTTTACAAATATCACTGTTGATGATATCCACTCCGGGGATTTCTTAGCTATATCAAAAATTCGCGGGAGATGGGGTGGCTTTGAGACCTTAGAAAAGTGGGTAACTGGTGCTTTTGCTGGGCATACTGCTGTTTGCCTTAAGGATTCAGAAGGAAAGCTTTGGGTTGGAGAGTCTGGACATGAAAATGAGGAGGTTAGTCCCATGATTTCTTCTCATTCAAGCGCATGTGTTGCTCTAAATGACCCACATAACTGGATCTATGTTTAGAAATGTTCTTTGTAAAAGATAGTTGCATATGAGCAGTGTTTTATCTGGAGCAGTAATCTTATTTCCAATCTCTTAAATGCGTTGTCAGGTATATGTTCTAATTATGAAATTTTCTCCTTTTCAATGAAAAGGAGATACTTTCTCTGCTATTGGATGTGATACTATTGGATTTTGGGGTACAAAATATGGACTGTATTGACCCTTTTTTTTGGCAGCATGTTGTCATGGCCCCTGTTTAATTTTTGTCCATGGAATCGCAGATCCAATGGTTAGAATATTAATATATATGTGTATTCATGAATGTGTGTGCATGTGTGTATATATGTGTGTCCGATTTTTTAGTTACCCAGTGTTCAAGGCTCAAGTTAATTTGGGTATTTGTGAGTGGTTACCCTGAGCAACTAGTTTCTCCTGGGAATTTCTGATGTGGTTTTATGATTGCATCGTAGTTTTTGATATCACGAAAAGATGCTAAACTTATTTTTTGCATGAAATGTAAATTTTATAACCTTTTCCTTCTTTTAGGAGGATGTATTTTTCCATTTATATTTTTTTAAAGTTTATCAATCATAGATATATATCATTCTACAGACGTCTTACAATTTTTTTGCGTGAATGTTGTCACTTTCCTCTTTCTTTTGCTTTTGTAGGGTGAAGACATTATTGCTGTGTTGCCATGGGACGAGTGGTGGGAGTTTGAGCTGAATAAAGATGACTCAAATCCTCAAATTGCATTGCTTCCTCTACATCCAGATATTCGAGCTAAATTCAATTCAACTGCTGCTTGGGAGTATGCCAGAAGCATGTCAGGAAAGCCTTATGGTTATCATAATATGATTTTTAGTTGGATAGATACCATAAGTGGAAACTATCCGCCACCATTGGACGCACATTTGGTATTACACTCCTTATGTTAATTTCCCTATTCTTCACCTTTTTTTCATTTTATTGAAGACAATAATTATTTGTTCAGGATGTTCAAAGTTTTAATCTCCATGATTCCCCAGGATTGTTGTTCCGTTTGGTTGTTTGACGTAGAAAACAATGTTGTTCCCTATATAAAATCATCCTTAATCTTCGCCTAAGAGTCACATAGCCTAAGGTTGTTTGGAGGTTTATTTACTATTTAACAACGATCGAGCAAGAACCTATGCTATTTATCTTTTAGACATTAGGACTTGAATGTCATTTGGTGATTTACTGGGTTTAATTGACACTAGAAGGATCATATCTTTATGTAGCTAATTGCTAAGCACCTCTGTGTAAACTATTTCTAGTCAAAATAGATATAATTGTTAGGTTATCTTGCAGGTTGCTTCTGTTATGACTATGTGGAGCAAAATGCAGCCAGCCTATGCTGCTAACATGTGGAATGAAGCATTGAACAAGCGTCTTGATACCAAGGTCTAACACCCCCCCTCGTTTCAATTGTTTTGTACATGTTGTTAAAGGTAATTTTCTCTCTAAAGGAGATGTATAATTCTGTTAAATAAATCAAAACATGTAAACGAATAATAAGCATGGGGGTGAAGTTTAGCGCTTGGTCAAAAGCAAGCTACCTTTGCAGTTTTAAATTTCAAGCCACTTGTGTAATTGTGCAAGCTAATATTTAATCCTAAGCATCCAAATAAACTAGTCATGCTAATATTTGATTGAGCTGTACTGATAAATTGCAGGCAACATTTCATGAATAAACTTGTCTTTAATTGCTTAAAAGCATGCCTGATTAGAGCCTTACCCTTAGTGGATCCTGTATCCTCACAATGTCATAATTTGAATGAATAAATAGACAACTTTATACCACATTTGATCTCGCTTTCTTCATATCTGAATATCAAGTCCATTTGTGATGTTTTCTTTTGGGCCTATGCTTAAGAACCAAGTCTATTTCATAACCAGTTTGACAAGTTCTTCTTCCTCTCTCTCGCAGGGCCTTGACCTTCCAGAAATAATAGTTGAATCAGAACGACGTGGCATTTCTTTTGAAAAGCTGCTGACAATTCCTGAAAGGGATGATTGGATTTATACTGATGGGAAATCAACTTCTTGTGTTGCTTTTATTCTTGAAATGTACAAGCATGCAGGGCTTTTTGATCCGATTGCTAACTCTATACAAGTAACAGAATTCACTGTAAGTTCATGTGAAGTTTTCTGGTCTAATAAAACGTAAAATCACTTATTTAATCTATGTTTTCAAAGATCCAAGGAGAAGAAATATTAGTTTTGCTTGAAGATAGCGAGGAAAAGAAAGGAAGTGAGATGAGACATTGTTTCCAATTTTCCTTTTCTTTTTCTTCTGGTTAGAATAAGACATATTTTCTGGTTGCTGAGTTTCTTTCGCATATGAAGGCAGCAGAAGAGAAACTAATCTCTTCTTATTTATTTTCCTTTGTCTTGCCTGTTTTCTTTCTGCTGTTCTTTTATGTCAAAGAACAGAGATTAAAATTACTGAATCAATCTAAATAGCTGAACAAGAAACAGAATTCTATAGCAGCTCATTTCATTACAGATGAACGAAGTTTCATTCAGTATTTTACTATAATTGTATGCTAGCAGGCATTTGCCGGCTCTTGAAACCTATAATTGTATGCTTGCAGGCATTTCACTTTGTATTTGCCATTTTTCAGAGACCCTCCTAAACTTTATAAATCAGAGAAAACTACCAAGTTATTTTTTCACTAAAATATCATAACTGATTACAATTAGTTTAAGCTGTCATGTGCTTCATTTGTGACCTATTTTGAACAATTTTACCTCTATAGACTTTATAGTTGCTGCATTATCCTATTCCCTTCCTCTATTTTCAAGGGTACTTTGAACCTTTTACCCTTCATGTTAATGCTGTTACTTACAATATCCGATGGTTCATGATACTACTCTGATATTTTGAAAGTTCATATTAGCTAGCTTTTTACTGGTATTTGCTTTTGACATGCAGATAAAAGACGCCTATACCCTCAAGTTCTTTGAAGACGACCCAGGCCATTTGCCAGAATGGTGCAACAAAGACGATAATGTGAAGCTCCCTTTCTGTCAGATCAAGGGGAAGTATCGAATGGAATTGCCTGAGTACAACTCTATGATACCCTACCCGCATATGAATGAGCATTGCCCTTCTCTGCCTCCGAATTATATCAGATCCCGTAATTGCTGAAGTTCTTATAATTATACCTGTATTTTAGGGGCCTCTGCTTCCCCTATTGGTTGCTGGAAACATCATGGAGAACGCAAATATTGTACATAGAAAAAGAAATTACTAATCGCCAACTCGTAAAGAATATTGGTCTGTAATGTAAGGACCTACTACGGTAATGTAGGGGGTATTGACCTGAAGGCTGTTGCTGATAATTGCACAAAAGACTCCTCATGAATTGCCCAAGAGACTTTTTATGAATTCTGATTCAGCTCTCATTTCTGAACTTGGGTTCCTTCAGAGCACAACGAGTTCTCACTAAGGATTCCAGAATCCTTCTCAGGTTTAGTAAATTTGTAAATTATCGATGTCCGTCACGGCGCCCAACCGCATCTTGTTTTACCATAGCTGTGGTCTTATTGCTTGTGTGCTTGGGGTTATATGTGATGCCCGTGAGTAAGTTAGCTTTCTTTTTAGCGTAAAACTCAACTATCGTCATCAGTAGCTTAGATCATACTATAAGTTAATTTCCTGGTTGAAAAAAAAATGGAGCACGTAGATGATGGCATAAAGCATAATCTTTTTAACTGTACAACTATTTCTTCTTGTTTTTTAAACATATAAAATAATTGCAATAATTAAAATCGGAGGAAAGAGGGAAGGAAAATAACATTAAAAAAAAAACCATTATTGACTATTTTCAAATGCGGATAAAGGTAAACGGCTATAACCAATTGTAGCTTGAAATTTCTCCTCTTCCATTTTGCAAACCTCACATTTTTATCCAAAGCAGTCGCGTTATCAACTATCTCACTACCTAATTCAAACCTACGCTAGTAAGTACTGGACCGGCGGTTTTCTCAAGACTTCTAATTATACCCACTTGTGTTTTAACATATTGCAACTTGCTGTAAAACAAAAACAATGCCATCATCAAGCTGATGATCTCGTTGAAGAAGCAAGTTTATTACAGTAGAAATATTAAATAATGAACAATAAGTATCATTCCTCATCATTAATCATTTAAATATACGTATATAACTTGCTCAAATCTCCTTGTCCTTTGGGCGGCGACAACTAACTAGATCTGATGTTAGTTAACGACCATGCATGCAATTTCATGAGGGGGGGAAAAGGTCACCATGCAGCAAACATGCATCATTAATTTAATTTGATTACACACTTGCTGCTTTCCGCCAATCAATGCATAAATCTGCAAATTATTTTACGTAAACAAATTTCTTCACTAATTGATCAGGAGCCTCTTAATTTAACAGTATGTCCATGCAAACTTGAAAGGAATTAAGAAATAGCAACTGGCTAAATTGCTTATAGATTTGAAATTAGCAAAACAATAATAAAAATGCTCTCTGGTGTCACCAAATATTAATTATAGAAGCAAGTGGTAGCTTATATGTAATTTTTGGCTTGAAAAATTATAATAAATGTCTGCTCTACCGACCTTGGATTTCTATAGGCTTAGTCCCTAATAGCCGTACACCAACAGAGTAGTTTTCATCTTATCAACGGCGAGCCTAGATGGACTACTGGACTTGCCTTCTCTTCGCAAAATAGTTTAAATCAAGTTTTTTAAGAACTCAAAAACTTCAATAGAACATCTAAAGTCAGAAATCACCCGGAAATTTTTTTTAAAATTTGAGTAAAATTAATGTAAGCGCATGTAACTGTTAATAGCATTAGTGTTACTATTAGTAATCATATCATATCATACTCCATTTAAAAGTACGAGCTCGGGAAAATATTTTCATGGTTAGCATTACCTTTAACTTTTTTAAATATTACATTGTTATCCTAACATATTCTATTTATCTTATCTTCTTTGAATTTATAACTAAATGATTTATCATATTTAAAATGAGACTTAACATGTTATTGGATAAAAAAAAAATATGTTTGATATAATTCAAATCCTTTACTTATTTCAGATCACAGAGAAATCTAAAAAATATATGCTAGCCAACACCTTAAAATTTTGGACTTTATAAAAAAAATCCTCCAAGTTTTTTAAATTGCAAAAACATCCCTATAAATTTAAAATTTTATTAAAACATCTTGAAAATTATAAATTTTACTTATTTCAATTCAGTGAGAAATCTAAAAAATATATGGTAGCTAGAAACTAAAAGTTTTTTGACTTTGGAGAAAATATCTTGTAAGTTTTAAAAATTATAAAAACACCCCTAAAAATTTAAAATTTATAAAAAACACATTCAAAATTTCAAACTTATAAACACATTAAAAACCTACAAATAACACAAACAACCCCCAAAAATTTATGGAATTTATAATAAATACTCTGAACTTTTTACAAATTGCAAAATAAAACCTTCAGAATTGTAAATTTATAAAAATTCTGATAATTTCTAACCTAATAGTACATTGAAAATATATGAATTATAAATATCCCTTACATAATTTATAATTTAAAGAAAACACCATTGACGTTTTAAAATTACAAGAAAAACATTAAAATTTAAAATTTATAAATAACACCATGAGAATTTCAAACTCATTAGTAAATTGAAAGCATAGGAATTATAAGTAGTCTATAAATAATTTACAATCGGTAGAAAATGCTTATAAGTTTAAAAAATTACAAAAATCCCCTAAATTTTATAATTTATAAAAAAATACCATGAGAATTTCTATTCTATGGATACAAAAATGAATATACAAAATTACTAACAACCCCTATAAAACTAAATTTTACAAAAATATCATACTCACTTTAAAAGTATAGATTTAGGAAAAATCTTTCATGGTCAAAATTACCTGTAACTTTTTTACAAAGAACATAAATGATTAAAAATCTATTAAAATTTAAATTTACAGAAAAACACCCTTAAAGTTTAGCACATTACAAATTACCTCTCCGAAGTTTGAAAATTTTCAATGATTTTTTATAATTTTTTAATTTCAACGTAATGTTTAATAGTTTTGTATATTTGTAAATTACAAAATTTTAGGGTGTTTTTTTTATAATTTTAAATTTTTTTAGGATGTTTCTTTTGTAGTTTTCTAAATTTTTATTGTGTTTTCAGTGTAATGCATAAATACGTCAATTAATGATGATATTGAAGAGTAAGTTGTTCTTAAGATTATTAGTCTATAATTAAGTGTACAACACATCACTGTTCCTAGGTAGTGTAATTTATATATGCAAAAAATTCATATAAAAATTCCTTTACGAATTGCATGGTCAACCATCTTTTGAAAACTTCAAGATACTAATAAATAGTGATGTTGTACTATATTAATGTATTTATAACTCATAAATAATAGACCATTCTGAATTGAAGGAAACAATAACGATAAGATTATTAGATCATAGTTAAGTATGCACATCACTATTCCTAGGCAATATAGTTTATATATGTAATTTTTTTTAAATAATATATATATTGGTTAAAAAGTTTTTGATTTAATGTACTATTTTTTATAAATTATATTTAATGTGAACCCACCATATAATTTTGACTGTGGTCATCATAAATTTAATACGTTTGATTGATTGACTATAAACGTATATAGATCATAGATTACTTTATTTTCTCACATGAGCTAATATTTGGTACTTAATAATTTAAATTATTATTTTTAAATTTAATATAAAAAGAAGCTCTAATAACATTTATTTATTTACCTACAGCATAATACAATCTCAATTTTTATTTTCGTTGTAGATTTATTTCATAGTTAAGTGTATCAAATTAGTAACTAAAATAACAATTAATTATGCTTAAATTAGGATGATTATAGTTAGTCACTCACTATAAAGTTTTTATGAATATATATACATTACTTTTTATAGCTATCTGCACTATCCATGTATAATTTACAAATTACTTCTTAATTTAACACATTAAATTACCTTTTCTTTGTAGAAATTTCTTCTTTGACTTTTAGACATTATAATCACTATATCACCATTTTAGAGTAGAAAGGACCTCACTCTAAATGGCTTCAAGCCAATGTTTGAGTTGAACTAAAGTACATACTTTTGCTACCATGTGTATATATTTTTTAAGAAAATCATATCAACACTTTTTAAGTAGAAGAGAATATTCTACCGTATGATATTATAAAAACTAAATATAACCAATTGAGTGATTAGCAAAAGAGAACTTACATCAGAAAAATATGAATAATAAGATAAAAAAAAGATAATAACATTGCCAACAATACTACAAATAGCAAAGTACAATGTAAAGTTAACATATTTTGTGGAGCCTAATTACTGACTATAAGCATTGAGGTTTCTATATATACTTTATAATTTATTTAAAAATATCATATATAGTAATATCGCTGTAATAATATCGTTATTAGAAAAATTTCTTCATGAATCAATATGTTCGTTACGATATATAAGCTATGTACTCAAAATTCTTGTGTCTTTTATAGAGTCAAAAGTTTGAATACGAGCCTTTAACATGTTGCTCTCACAACAACAAAATCCACTTAGCAGATGTGGATATTCTAGATGAGTTATGAATCATATATATAATACAATTACCCTAGGTAAGTGAGTTATAATAGCATTTTTTATTCACATCATTTAGAATAAGATTTGATAGGGACCTTGTATCAAAGGAAAAAATATATATTTAGAGCACATAGCGAAATATATCATAATCTTGTTGTTCTAATTTCGTAAGAAAATAATTCTGTATGCTTTCAGTTTTACTTTTATGATACAGAGTGCGAGCTATAAAACTGAATGAGAATATTAGATAATATAAATATGAGTAAAATAATAACTAAAAGTTAACGTGAATATGAGTCAAACCATAACTAAAAGTTTAATAGACATATTACAAGTGAATTCATATGCAAAATTCTTTTACGAATTGAATGATCATCCATCTTTTGAAGACTTCAAGATACTAATAAATAGAGGTGTTGTATTAGATTAATGTGTTTATAACTCACAAATAGTAGAGCATGTGGCCATAATCTGGGTTGAAGGAAACAATGACAATATTTTATTTAAGAGAGAGATTATTGAGTTGATCAATCCCACAAAAAAAAACTTTATTTTTTTATTTTTACTCTATTGTTATCAATTTAAATAATCATGATATTCAATCACGTGCATTGCACGTGCATCTCAACTAGTAATAATAAAAAGAAGAGTAAGACACCACTACTAGAATTATGACTATTAACCACAGAAGTATAGTGACGAACATTTCCGTCGCTATACTTTGACTTATAGTGACATATATTTTCGTCGCTATAATACCGTTGGCAAAAG